CAGTCACTGTACCAAAAAGAATTGGCTGATGTTCATCTATTTCAGGAGGTGGCATATGATCAAGAACCAATGGTATTGAAGGAAGAAGTCTAAGCAGCAGCAAAGGAATTGGTGAAAAACAAGGCTTCAGGAATTGACAGAATTCCTGTTGAGATATTTCAACGAACGAATGCCACACCGAAGGTACTTACTCATCTATGCCAGGGGATTTGGAAGACATCTACCTGACCAACTGACTGAAAGAGATCTATATTTGTAACCATTCCAAAAAAAGGTGATCCAGTAGAATGTAAAAATTACCAAAAATATCATTAATATCACATGCAAGTAAAATTTTGCTGAAGATAATTCAAAAACAGTTGCAGCAGTATATTGACAGAGAACTTCCAAAAATGCAAGCTGGATTCAGAAGAGGATGTAGGATGAAGGCTGTCATTGCTGATGTCAGATGGATCTTGGATGAAAGCAAAGATGATCAGAAGGATGTTTACTTATATTTTATTCACTACGCAAAAGCATTCACCTGTGTGTATCCTAACAAATTATGGATGACATTGCAAAGAATGGGAATTCCAGAACTCATTGTACTCATGAGGAACCTGAATATAGAGCAAGAGGCTGTTGTTTGAACACAATAAGGGGATACTTCTGGTTTAAAATCACAAAGGGAGTGCGTCAGGGTTGTGTCCTTTCACCATACTTATTCAATCTGTATGCTCAGCAGGTAATCCAAGAATCTGGATTATATGAAGAAGAACGTCGTATCAGATTAGAGGCAGACTCATTAACAACCTGAGATATGCAGGTAACACAGCCTTGCTTGCTGAAAGTGAGGATGTCTTGAAGCACTTTCTCATGAAGACTAAAGGCTACAGTCTGCATTACACCTCAACATAAAATGAAAATCCTCACAACTGAACAGAAAATCCTCACAACTAAGCAGCATCACGACAAATGGAGAAAAGATTAAAGTTGTCAAGGACTTCACATTACTTGGTTCCACAATCAACGCCAATGGTAGCAGCAGTCAAGAAATCACATGTCATATTGCACTGGGCAAATCTGCTGCAAAAGACCTCTTTAAGGTCCTGAAGAGCAAAGATGTCTCTTTGAAGACTAAATGTACACCTAACCCAAGCCATAGTGTTGTCATTCGCCTCATATGCACGTGAAAGCTGGACAATGAATAAGGAAGACCAAAGAAGAGTGGATGCATTTGAGTTGTGGTGTTGGTGAAGAATACCGAAAGTACAGTGGACTGCCAGAACAACTAACTAATCTGTTCTGGAAACAGCACTGCCGAATGCTCCTTGGAAGCGAGAACGGCTAGACTTAGTCTGACGTACTTAGGTCATGTTGTCGAAAGGGATCCTTTCATGGAGAAAGATATCATGCTTGGTAAAAAGTGGAGGGGCAGCGAAAATGGGGAAGGCTCTCAACAAGATGGATTAACACAGTGGTGCAAGGATGGGCTCAGGTGTGGGAAAGATTATGAGGCTGGCACAAGGCCAGGCAGTGTTTTGTTCTATTGTACAAAGGGTAGCTGTGAGTCAGAGCCAGCTCGATGGCAGGATGGTTATAATAAAGATACATAAATAAATACCGTGTTGGCAAGTATGTGGAGAAATTGGAACTCTTACACATTTCTAGTAGGCATATAAAATGGTGCAGCTTTGGAAAACTGCCTGACATTTCCTCAAAAGATTTTTGAGGAAAACTCTCTAGAGTTACCATAAAACCAAAACTAAACTCACTGCCATTGAGTGAATTTAACTCATAGTGACCTCCCTTGGGCTTCTAAGGCTATAAATCTTTATGGAAGCAGACTGACCCATCTTTCTTCCATGCAGTAGCTGGTGGATTCAAACCACTGACCTTTTGTTCAGCAGTCAAATGAATTAACCACTACACCACCAGAACGCCTTCGGGTTACCATATGACCTAGCAATTCTTCTCCGAGGCGTATACCCAAGAGAAATGAAAACATGTCATTTGTGTATGTCCACATAAAAACTTGTACATGAATGTTTATAGCAACATTATTCATAATAACCAAAAACTTCAATCAACGTGAATGTTCATTAATTGATGAAGAGATAAAATAAGGTATATCCATACAGTAGAATCTTATTTGGTAGTAAAAAAGAATGAAGTAATGATAAATGCTACAGCATGGATTTGCCTTGAAAACATGCTAAAAGAAAAAAAAAAAACAGACACAAAAGACCACATACTATATAATTCCATTTATATGAAAAGTCTAGAATAGGAAAACTCATAAAGACATAAATTCGTAGGCTAGAGAGTGGGGAGAAATGAGAAAAAGCTGTTAACGGGTACAGGATTTCTTTTTGGGTTGAGGAAAATATTCTAAAACTGACTGGGTAAAAGTTTACAGAACAAATTCACTTTCCATACAGTAGTTCATACACACGTTGTCTCATGACATTGACTACAATTTACCCCAATGCAACAGCTCCCCTCCCACTTCCTCCCAATAGTTACCTCTTCCCTGTGTCCATCCCTCCATGCACTCCTGCCCCCTGAACTGTCCCTCTGTACATAAGCAGCCCCTCTTTCTCCCATGATTGTTCTCTCCAAGGAGAGTATCTACCTCAGATACATGTTCAACTCATATGCTTGTCTTTTTTCTGAATATATTTTTTAAAAATTGACTTGTACACTGTAAATAGATAAATTGTCTGGTATGTGAATTATATAAATTATATAATAAAACTCTTATTTTAAAAAAGATGCAGAACTTAGAGGACCAGCCAGGGCTTTGTAGCATACTCGGGATCGTGGTAGTCTCTTTGAATTCACTGGTCCAGTCTTGTTCTGGCTGGCTGCAAGCTCTTCACATTGCTCCAGGCCCAAGTCCAAGGCTACTTGGAACAAAGTTTATTCTTGCCACCTGCTGAGTTCACCATCTGAGTTGAAATTTGAATTTACTCTATTTTTCAAATTGGTTTGGAGCTTACCTCTACATACAGAGAGGCTCATGGGCCCAGAATGGGTAAACTAGTACTGTGCAGAGGAATGAAGAGCATCTGGAAACTTCCAGACCTTCCAAGGTGGCCAGGCATATCTCACCACGTGCCAGAGTTTCAGGCATGGAGCCTGTACTGTTCTCCCCTTCTCAACGGCTCAGCTATTGTACTGCTCTACCAGTACTGTCCCTTTGAGAACCAAGACACTTATCTCATTGTGGCCTCTTCTCTACCAGAAACCTTCAATGGCTTCATATTGCAACATTCCGACTAAAGCTGGCAACCAAGGCCTTCCCTTTTCTGGGACATTAGTTTTGTGTGGTAGCAAGCATGAGTAGCTTTGGAATCAGAATAATGGGATTGAGTCCCACCTGCACCTTGTGCTAGTTGAGTTACTTCAGACCAGTTACGTAATCTTTGTAAGCCATAGTTTGCTCCTCAGCAAGGAGAATGCTACTTACTTTAAGGAGAAGGTTGTGAAAATTAGAATAATTGTCTCTGGAAAGCTTATCAGTTCCCAGTTGGGTTAGGTCATTTGCCTCCTTCCCCTTCTGTGTTGTCTCCCCCTTTTCTCAGCAATGAATTATCTGGTCCGTGGTTAACCAAGGACGGCCCCTTCCGTTGGTAAATACCTCACTGCATTTGCTATTCCCACACATTCTGGGCCAGTCCATTCCAGTCTTCATGTCTTTGGTTCTGTTGTTCTCATACCAGTCATACCCAGGTATGTGTATTTCATATTTCTAGATTAAGAACAATAGCGATTTTTCTCTTTTCATAGCCCCTATCAGTTTTTGTCTGATCCTTAACCTATTACTGCTTCGGATTGTTTTTTGCTGTTAACATTGTTAACTTTATCCTTTCTCCTAAATTATAAACTTTATTTTAGCAGATACTTTCTTTTTGTTCATTTTTACCCCCATGGATTTAGTTTAATGTTAAGCACGTAGCAGGCTCTTGCTAGAGAGTTGGCTTGGAAGTGGTCTGCCATGACTTTGCAGTATTCTACTGCACACTTAGTGAAAGATAGATGCAAGGATGGTTGAAATTCTTTGTTGTGCACAGTCTTATATGCAGGAACGCTGCTTTCCGGCTTCTTTCCAAACCCTGATAGTGTGGTGTGGGGTGGAGAAGAACAGGACTTCGTTTTCCTTCCTTCCTATAGCAGTGTCCCAGCTTTGCTTCCTATTCTAAGATCCTGGCCTCTAGAAGAGGAGGGTTATGCGTTTGCTTTGCCCTGTTGGGAAGGTGTGAGGAGCATCTTACAGGACATTCTTTCTCTTCTCAGGAATTGGCTGTGCTATCTCCAATTTAACTGTTTTTCCTTTAAAATTTCCTTTAAAATCATTAGTCTTATGTTCTTGAGCTCTTCCTGTGTGTGTTGATGTCAGTACAGTGACATTTCTAGGGATACCCTGAAGTCTACACGCATTGAACAAATTTGTAAATGCCTGCTTTGTGTCAGATGTTCTAAATATTGCGAAAATGAAGAAATGATATATAAGCCTTATGGCATAGTGCCTAAGGCATTTGACTACTAACCAGAAGGCTGGCGGTTCAAATCCACCAGCCACTCCTCAGAAGGAAGGTTGGGCAGTCTGCTTCCATAGTGTTACCGCCTCAGAAACCCAAGGAGGGGTCGCTGTGAGTTGGATCCAGCTAGACAGCAGTGAGTTTGGTTTTTGGTGTTTGTAGTTTAGTTAAGGAGAAAATATATAAACAATTAAAATGTTAGACATAAAAGAGACCTATAGAAAGGAAGTTTTTAAAGGGCTTTTGCAATTTGAACCTTATTTTAATTGTGTAACATACTGCATATGACTTTGTCCTTTAAAGACGAGATTTTTTTCCCTAGATATGAGAGTTGTGCTATTTGATGTGTTCCTTTGCTGAATTTTCCTGTTAAGTTAATCAAGTTTATACTTGTAACCTCTCAGATTAACAGTGTGGAAAATGTCAGCCAATAACTTTGAAAATACAGTTACGTGACTTCTCTTTTATGTTGTTTAGGTGACTGCTTGTCAAACAATCTGGAAAGCCAACATCTGATGAAATTAGTGAATAAGCAATTCAACCATGGCTTACACTCCGGGAATTGGTGGTGACCCCATCCAGCTGGCCCAGCGCATCTCTTCCAACATCCAGAAGATCACACAGTGCTGTGAGTTCATTTTTACATTGACTTCTTTTGCTTGTTTTTACTTCTTAACTGAGCATGGTGGCCATTCATATAGGGTACCAATGCTATGCACATAATATATCGTCTTACTAATGAAATAAAGATGGAAAAGGATATGTTGTTGTTGTTGTTAAGTGCCGTCGAGTCGTTTCCGACTCATAGCGACCCCATGCACAGCAGAATGAAACACTGCCCGATCCCGCGCCAGCCCCACAATCCCTGCTGTACTTGATCCCATCATCGCAGCCACCGTATCCATCCATCTCGTTGAAGGCCTCCCCCTCTTCCGTCGACCCTCCACCCTACCAAGCATGACATCCTTCTCCAGGGAATGGTCCCTTTTTACAACATGACCAAAATAGGTGAGATGAAGTCTGGCCATTCTTGCTTCCAAGGAGCATTCTGGCTGCACTTCCTCCAGGACAGATCTGTTAGTTCTTTTAGCAGTCCACGGTACTTTCAGCATTCTCCGCCAGCACCACAACTCAAAAGCATCAACTCTTCTTCGGTCTTCCTTATTCATTGTCCAGCTCTCACATGCATACCAGGCGATTGGAAATATCATGGCTTGTGTCAGGCGCACCTTAGTCCTCAATGAGATATCCTTGCTCCTCAGCACTTGAAACAGTTCCTTCACAGTTGACTTTCCCAATGCTATTCTGGTAGCATAGTGGCTAAGACACTTGCCTGCTAACCAGATGGCTGGCAGTTCAAACCCACCAGCCGCTCCTCGGAAGGAAGGTTGGGCATTCCTACTTCCGTAGTGATACTGCCTCGGAAACCCAAGGAGGGGTCGCTATGAGTCGGGGCCGATTCGACGGCACTTAACAACAACAACAACAACACATCGTCTAATGTCCTGACTGCTGCTTCTGTTGGCATTGATTGTAGAACCAAGCAACGTGAATTCCTTGACAACCTCAATCTTCTCTCCATTTATTGTGATGCTGCTCATTGGTCCAGTTGTGAGGATTTTTGTTTTCTTTATGTTGAGATGTAATCCATACTGCAGACTGTATTCTTCAACCTTCATCAGTAGGTGCCTTAAGTCATCCTCACTTTCAGCAAGCAGGAAAAGGATATAGATAACTTATATTTGCTCTAAAACCATTTTATTGAGATTAGTGAGGCTTATTAGCTAAATTCCATAGGTTTCGAACTGCAACATACTACTAAGACCTTAAAAAATATATATTTACCAAAAAGAAAATCTAATTGGATATAGTTTTGGTAAATTTTGTAAAAGGCAAATACATGCTGCATTATTTAGGAGCAGGGCAGAACTTAAAGGGGTATGTTTTAGCTGTGAAGGCAGATAATGTAAAAGATAACTAACTACCTGCATTTACCACAAATTACATTTGCTACATCTGTCAGAAACAAAATGTCAATAGAATGATCCAATGTGACATTTCTTATTTTGTTAGAAAGTAGTACTCTTTGGAATGTATATAAGAATAAAAAAAAAATTCTGTAGCAGATTTCAACCTTTGGATTTTTTTTGTTCCTTATCACAGCTAATAACACATGACAGATTAGCCTCATCAGCTTTCTTTCGTTATTTGGTCCTTTGGGCATTACCTGAACTCTTTCAGAGTATTGAAGAGTTTCCTTCTTTAGTCTACTTCCTCATGGTTACTTTCTTTATAGGAATGTGTGAGCACACTGCTGAAACACAGGATGGTTTCGAATGACCATCCTATGTACATTTCATCTACCGTATGTTTTCACAAATAACATCCATCTTCTGCATACTGCTCCCTCACTCAGAAAGTATTTTTGTAAAACACCCCTGTGCCAGTTTTTAAAAATAAGCATAGCACATTTACAAATATACCTCCCAGAGGGAGGGAGTGGTTGGCAAACAAATGGTGCATGTTATTTGCGTAAAAATACGGTAATCATTAACTTCACAACAGTTATTACTCTACCTGGGTGATTTCAATGCAATGTCAGTGATTTTTGGGGTGGGAGGGAGGTAGCTCAGTAAGATTACAGATGGAACTAAAAAGGAGCCACTGTGCACAACTGTGTGACATAACCCTTATTCTGATTTGGGGTAATTCGTGTTTTCTTTGGGTATTCTTAGAGGAGCAAAGCAGTGAATAGCATAGAGGTCTCATGTTGCCCACAGCTGAAACTGGGAAGATGGTACATCATCAAAGATTGTTCTGCTTTGTCCCAGGGTACCAGCACTGGCTCCTTCTTGCTCTTGTGGCTTCAGGTCTGATGAGAGTAGCCAAACAGCCTCTCCTTTTTATGACTCCCTTGCTGCTGGTTGGAAATATTCCTGATCTGTCTCAAGTGATTCTGGCTACCTATGTGAAAATTAAGGGAGCATATAATTTTAATTTACATTTGTGGAAAATCAGGAACTTTATTCAAGAAAGGACAGGGACCTTCCTCTAAAAAATGGGGCAGCTGTTCTATGTTTGGTAAGGTTAACTGTGTCAGGAACTCCAGGAAGAGGATATCTTGAGTGGAGGGGCTCTTCTCTGGAATGACTGTATTGAGATTATAGAGATAGATTGGTGGTATGAAAGACATATGGATTGGAGATTGTGGGTGAATGTGAACTAAAAGGGGGTAGGGTTAACTTAAACGAGGCCATCCTCCCTGAGAAAGGGATCAGTTGATCCAGCAAGGTGAAAAGTGGTTCCTTTGGGTTGGAGTGGAATATGCCTAGCACAGTATGTTGGCTGAGTGGTGTGATCCAGGGCAGTCATGGAGTGGTAGGAGGATGGTGGTAAGACTGATGACTGTCCCATGTGAAGAGATGTTAAGATGGGACTACACAGCCAAGACAAAGTATAGTCACTTCCTGCAGATAATTGAATCACTGTCATGTAGGAAACGAGAAATATGTTCTGCATGAACATAAAGGCAGTTGCTATCAGCCAACTCATGGTGGCCCCATGTGTGTCAGAGTAGACCCATGCTCCATGGAGTTTTTGTTGGCTAATTACATCACCGAGCCTTTCTTTCATTGTGCCCCTGGGTGAACTTGAACCCCCAGTCTTTGAGTTAGCAGCTGAGTACATTAACCATTTGTACTACCCAGGGACTTCACACAGTTGCTGTTGAGTTCATTATGACTCATGGTGACCCATCATGCTTCGGGGTAGAACTTACTCCTTAGGGTTTTCAATCGCTGATTTTTCAGAAGTAGATCAATATGCCCTTTCTTCCAAGTTGCAGCTCAGTGGACTGGAATCACCAGCACTTTGGTTAGCAACCATTTGTGCTACCAACATAAAGTCCTCTACAAATAAATAGACACCAAAGAGCATCAGACTTCAACTTGAAAAGGAAAGGTTGTTGAATAACTTAAGTTGTTTGGGGATGGAATTGGCTGTCTCAGGAAGAGAAAGATTCCTGTTAACTAAAAGTGACTTGTGTAGGATGGTCAGCTCCTTCTCAGGACTATTATTAACAGTTTGAAACATTGGCATAATAGTTCTGGTTAAGTGATTTTTAATTTTCAAATTCTCCCTTGATTCATTCAAAGAAATTATTTACTGAGCACCTACTGTTTACTAGGTACTATCCTAGACTATGAGAATGCAGCAGTAAACAAGATCCCTAAGGCCCTGCTCTCTGCAGTTTACAGTGTAAGGAGAGACAGAGAGAAAGCAGAATGAATGACCAGAAAATGAAATGGAGGGATGCAAGTGAGTTAGTGGGAGGAAGCTGCCTTAGTTTACATGGTCTCCTAAATGAGCATGAGAAAGGGCTGGTACGACTGTATAGGAGCAGAGCATTTCAGGTGGGGGATAACTAGTGTTGAAAATCTAAAGCTGTGCAGAGCTTGGGGTGTTCAGAAAATTGGAAAAAATTGGGGGAAGAGAAAAGAAAAAAAAAACCTTTTTAGTGTAGCTAGAAAACAGTACCTGAGGAAAGGAAAGTCAGGAGATGAGATTAGGGAGGAGACCCGGGTGATCACATAGGGACTTTTGGGCCTTGTAGGGAATTTGTGTTTGGTTCTAAGAGGCAGTGGAAGTCCATTGGAAGATTTTAAGCTGGAGAGAGACACGATCAGAAGTGTATTTTGAAAAGATAACTTTGGCTGCTGCTTAGAGAATAAACTCTGGGGGAATAGGAAGAGTGGGAGGGGGATACATAGGTGAGAGACAATGTTGGCTGGCGCCAGGCTGGCAACAGCAGAAATGGAGACAGATGATGGATATATTTTGAGGTAGAGCCAGCAGGACTTGTTGATGAAAGGGGTGGGGATGGGAGGAAAAGAGAGAAGTCAAGGATAGCATTGTGGTTTTTGATTTGAGCAGCTGGGTGAACAGTGGTGAGAATGTACTGAGATGAGAAGGACTAAGGTTCCAGAGAAGTGGAGAAGAATTTTGTTTTGGCCAAGTAAGGTTTTTTTTTTTTTTTTTTGTGGTGTGTATGTGTGTGTGCAGTGTTACCTCCCCTCTCCCTCCACCCCTGGTAACCAACAAAGAAAGTTTTCTTCCACATATAAATCTTTCTTTGACTTTTTACAATAATGAACTAATACAATATTTCTCCTTCTATGATTGACTTATTTCACTCAGCATAATGTCCTTCAAGTTCATCCATGTTAAGTGGTGTTTTGCATTATTCTTTAGTGTTGCATAATATTCCATTGTGTATGTACCACAGTTTGGTTATCCATTCTTCTGTTGATGGGCATATGGGGTTGTTTCCATCTTTTTGCTGTTGTAAATAGTGCTGCAATGAACATGTGTGTGCATATATCTGCTCTTGTCCTGGCTCTCACTTCTTTAGGATATGTACCTACAAAAAGGATAGCTAGATCAAATGGTTTTTCTAATTCTAATTTTTTAAGGCATATTGGTCAAGTAAGTTTTGAGTTATCTTTTAGACGTCTAAGTGGAGATATCAGATATTTAGTTTGGATACGTACATTTGGATTTCAGGATGACATCAGAGTATAAATGATTTTTAAAACTAACGGCCTAAAATAATCACCAAGAATGAGTGTA